ACCAAGAGCCCACTTACACGTTTTTAGATGGAGCTGCTCAAAAGGCATTTTATTCATTTTTTGGAGGGAGATTTTCTTATCTTTAAATAGTTCCTCTGCCCAAACTTCACAGCCATAGAGTAAGATTGGCTTGACGGTTTTATCAAAAAGTTTCATGTATAGCAGGGGAGAAGTTATTTGGTGTGAGGAAAGTGCTGTTTTCAGTGCAAAAGATGCTTTCATTGCATTTTGTTTCAGGTTTTCAATTGCTTTTTTTAAAGATCCTGTATTTGTGAAGGTTATGCCTAAGTATGTAAAATTCTTCACAGATTCTATGATTTTGTTATTTATATAGAAGTTAATATTTTTGTCTAGTTTCCCTTGTTTGTTAAAGATGACAACCTTCGATTTTTTCTCATTCACCTGAAGTTTCCATTTTCTGCAATATGTTTGAAGTGCTGTTAAGTGGCCTTGTAGTCCTTCCTTGCTAGTTGATAACAGAACAAGGTCATCTGCATAGAGGATGTGGTTTAGCCATCAACTGAGCAGTCCTTATTTTTGTTCTTAAAGATTTCTTTGATATCATCAATGAACACATTAAAGAGGGTAGGGCTTAGATTATCCCCTTGTCTGATTCCTATCCTTGATATAAAGGGCTTTGTGTACCCTTCCCCAACAGAGATGCCTAATCTGGTGTTACTGTACATTGTTTTAATGATGCTGTAGAATTTTCCTCCTACTCCAGTTTTGAGAAGTTTCAAAAGTAGGCCCTTGTGCCACACAGTATCAAATGCTTTTCTCAGATCAATAAAGCATGTATATAGTTTCCTATTTTGATTGATGTATCTGTTAATTATCGATTTCAGAGTGAAGATATGATCGGTAGTTCTATATCCCGGCCGAAATCCTGCTTGTTCCTCACTTAACTTGTTTTTTGACTGGAGGTATTCAATGATTCTGTTTGCTAAAATAGAGTTAAACAGTTTTCCCAAACAGCTAGTGATACAGAGTCCTCTGTAGTTTGAGGGGTTCATGTATTCTCCTGACTTGAAAAGCGGAATGATAATCCCGAGGTTCCATAGATCAGGGATTTCTGACGTATCTAACACTAAATTAAAAAGTTTAGTAAGCACACCTGTAAGGTACTGTGCCCCTGTCTTCAGCATTTCATTTCTTATCATGTCTTCACCAGGAGATTTTCCATTTTTTAACTTCCGTATGGCTTTCTTGACTTCATGTACAGTTATGGGAAGGTTGAGGGTGGGCTCGCCTAGCATATTTTCATGTGCTTCGATTTGATTATCTATTTCTTGTTCATCCTGGGGTGGGATTCCACATAGGTTATAGAAGTGGTTAAGCCATGTGTCTGGTTCAATTAGGTTTTCTTGGTGCTTTTTACCCTTCAGTTTTTGTAGAGTTTGCCAAAAGGCTTTAGGATTTTTCTCTTCAAGATTTAGTAATTCATTTATCATGGTAGTCTTGTGGTTTTCTTTTTTTTCTTTAATCATTTTCTTGTACCTTTTGACAGCTACATGGTATGTATCAGAAATGAATTTATTTTTCGGGTTTTTTTGAAGTAGTTTTCCTAATGATTTGACATTTCTCCTTACTTCCAGACAGGTACCGTCAAACCATGGTTGTTTTTTCACTCTTACATTTCATATATCACACATATCCTGTATAAAATAATACAGCTGTGATAGTATGCGTATAATACTTTGGTGCAGATTAATTATCTTATATTACTACTAAATGATAAATTTTACCACAGCCGCTGTGACTTGTCGAATATGAAAATAAAAATATACTTTTATGTATTTAGTTCAAGTTCCTTGTCAAACTAATGGTGACTACTGTCAGTAACGAACAGTTTGTAATTATCATCAATTTATTTTAAACAAAAGGTTTCAAATTTATTGTATCAAAACACTAGGTGTCTTGCTGGTGAATAAGTTGTAAAAATGTGTATTTGAAAACAAACCGGGAGGCTCGGAAAAGTAACTCATCATAAAGGCTATTTTATAGACCGATCGAACTTTAAATCAAAGTAATGGGGACAATGGCGTATTTTATTTTGGCATTTCATAAATCACTTCAACAATGACGCAGTCAAATTCTTTTTACATTTTTTTGGCACTAAATTGACTGACACTATCTTTAATGTTAATGGACGGAAGGATGAACGAATAAACAGATCGATACAAATGGTTAATAGAAATATGAAAAATCAAATACAGATTTTTTTAAATCTTCATTGTAAACAGGTTAAGTGTAATTGTAAGCCTGGAAGTCCGATTTCACACAGCACATACCCTCCAGTATACTCCTCCCAGGCTGATTGTGTTAGAGGTGCTAGATGGCACAATGGCGCCCACATGGTTGCACTCTAGACGGCGGGGATGGGGGGGGGGGGGGGGCAGTATTGATTGTCAGGTATTCTAGGATGAAAAGGGTTAAACAATCTAAATAGAGACGAAAGCAGACCTGTATTATAACCCCTAAGCACAGTAGCCGCAGTTTTAAGAGGGGGGGGGGGGGATAGCTCCAAGTACCCTCGACTAATGACACAACGCTACCTGTGTCACTCTGAGACTGAGGAAAATGGCTGATGGCACGTCCAAACATTTGTCGTGATTGAAAGGCTTGTAATAAGTTTGTGGCTTAAGTAATTTTAATATGCAAGGTTGAAGAACTTGAGAGACTTTGCCGTTTTTATACACATACCAGCTGTTTTGCAATACGGTGCGAGGTCGACTTTCGGACATATTTTAACTTCAATCCATTCGGCTGTGTGATGGTGACGCTGTGAGATCACAAAAAGTTAAGTTTTATACTATGGTTAAGTTACATGAAACGAGGACGCTGTGACTGCGTAGATCATATCTCGAATCTAAAACGATATCTTTACGAGAAGAGTCGATCTACACTGTGAACGTTTTTACAGCCTGGGGAAATAAAGAAGTCGCTACAGTTTCACTCGTTCAGTATCCAAAAGTGGTGTAAATGAACCGTGTTCAAGAAAAGTTATGCCGGATAAATAAAGCAATATTAAATACCCTTACTGGTACAAGATAATTTGAGCAAATTCAAGGTTTGGGGGGAATTTAAGCAGATGAATGATGCATTTTAGAGCAGTTTCCTAGAAAAATTGATTGATAAAAAGAAGTCTCAAAATATATCTATTTATTTATTACTAAAACCACCTTGAAAGATGAGTAAAAAATAAATATATGTGTAAAATAATACAATAAAAGCAGTAACTAAAACGATTTTAAGAGCAGTCCCGCCAACACATATTCTTTTGAGAGTCTGTTCTGATAGCTGGGGCTGTTTACTAAAAATCTCAGTGTATCAACCAGTCCTGCCGGTGCATGCAGGTCTGGGCCAGCATTCCGAATTCCCGACCCACTCAGACATAAGATCGGGTTCGTAACGTAAGAAACAATCCTCTGGAGCAACGACCCCTGCTCTATGGAACGATTCTGATTCATCAAATTGATTTTAGAGAGTCTTTGATGAATAAATAGTTCAATTGAGGTTTCCGTACGTCTCGTTGTAGGGGGACAAGAACCAAAATATCTATCAATTTATTTTAATTAAAAATAAATTAATAATGGTATAAAGCAGTTTTTTAATGAATGAAAACGAATAATAAATTTTCGTTTTACAAGAAATTAACAAATTCAGTTTTAAACCATTGAGTTTGTTTCAAAAATGCATGGTCTCTAGCTCTGTTGTGCGCAAAGGATTGTGGGTAATATGAGGGTCCAACTTGCCCGAGTCAAGGGGGCTAACTAGCCCCGGGAGTACATATTTAATTTTAAAGGATGGCAGCCATTTATGGTGCTAGAATGAACAACGATGATACATCGCTGTGAAACTTGAAACAATGAGCTTCAGTTTGATGCCCTATACATATATTATATTCGATCAAAAGCCTATGGAAATAGATTTTTAAATCTCTTAAATTTACTTTTAGGTACATAAATCGTTTATTTGGACTCATCACTTAGGTAAAACTTTTTAACGTCCGACACTTCCTTAACATTGTAGGCTACGGTCACTTTACAAGAGTAGGCCTACATGTATGTGGCCAATTTATTTACCTCGTAGTTACTTTTTCATAAATTGACTGGGGGCTAACTAACCCCGGGGTCCAACTAGCCCCGGTCTCCCCTACGTACGTACGTAGTTGCACTGATTCGCACTCTTTCTTACATAAAAAATCATATCTCAGAATCACTCAGCGTACGCTAGCACGCGTACGTCCCTCATTTTCCCACCTCCCAATATTGTAAGGCGTATGTAGGTTATGCATTTATATTTACCAGCACTGCAATATTCCATCGTCGACCCCCCCCCCCCCCCCGCCCGCCCTAGTCTCATTACTTGGTGGAAATAACACCCTATCTTATAAATATAATTACAAATATCATCCTTTATTATTTAATGAAAGTTACACACATACAGTTACTGAGACATATTCCCAGGCATTCTCGCTGTGTGAGATACGTCAGGTGTCCTTAAGTTGCAGTTACAACGCACGTCATATGCTGTTGTAACGTAAACAAATGACAGTCGATTGACGATTACATTTCTTCTTGATTTATGTCATGTTTGAGTTACCTTCTGCAGTCCAACGCAAAGAAATATAGAACTAAGGGGTAATGTACAGTAAGGTTTGAATAAGTTCTTTGATATTTTAATACCAATGTAGGGGATACGCCCCTAATATACTGAGAAGAGATGGCATTTTGTTCACGAGAATACGATGGCCTTGAACACACAGTGACCTTATTGAGGCCAAGCTATATTTAGGCGATTGTATATGACAAACAACATATTTATTTAAGTAAAAAGGAGGTAAAAATTAGTCCTCTTTTAATCACTTTCTTGAAATTTCCAAATCCATTTTTGTCAATTCTATACTGAAATAATTCATCAAATAACATTTCTCTTTAAGCTGCCAAAAAAATCCTTCTAAAAATTCCCAGACGACTTTCGTCACGTGACCTTTTTTTGTCGTTGTTCGATACAGACTCTGTCGGAAAAAAGGGCAGAATATACACATACAGGTATGCTACCGAAAAGCAGAGCTAGATATTAATCTCAAACACTGCATTATTTGAACATAAAGATTCTCAAATACACAATCAAAGTTCAGCTCGTAACCCGGAAAAGTTGTTCAAAAGAAAAAGAAGCGAGTGGCTCGACACACGTCTATTTGTATAAAGTCAATTTCAGGTAAGTTCACTTATTTGACTAACAAATGCTATGTGTGCTTATAATATATAGGGGCCTATATTTTCATTTTGAACGCCTTAAATATGGATGTACTTTAAGTTATGCAATAACGTGTTGTCTGTGCTAGATTTTTACAGTACACATATTTCTTGCTCAAAATGCACTTATTTTTTTCATTTCATAAACACTGCGCCCTGTTGCTAGAGTGCACAGACAAACAACTTTTAGGTCAAGGTCACACCTTTGTATTGCAGCGTTTGTATTATAATGCAGTATTTACACAGTGTGAAGCGGCACAAAGCATTTCTTGCGCACACTGTATATTCAATGATTCTTGAAAGAAAAATATTTTACTTGATCAAAGTTAGACTGAAATACCACGAAGGTCACAGCATGGGCGTAACTAGGCATACGCACGGATGTACTACTGTGCGTACAACTTTTGGCCAACCATGATATTATTTTATATAAATTTAGTGTATTTTTCACGGAATATAAAAGAAAATCCTCTGCTTATTAAAGTCACCTGTATATACAAATCCTCTGTATCAATTGTATAGGCACAATTGTTCTGCCTTAGTGTAATTTTCAAAGAGCAGCTCTCGCAACCCTGAGGGCACTAGATAAAATCTGGACACCAGGTTTAAGAAGGAGCTAGAGAAACAAAGGAAAAAAATTCCTGCAAAGCTTCAAAGAATTTTGACACGGACTTGACCCAGCTTACCCCTCCAAACTAACGGGGTGACATGGGCAATTTTTACAAACAAATAATTAAACTTAGATTTATCAGAGCTCTGTCGTGTCGAACAATTGGCTGTTTTTGGGAGCCATGCATCCACATGTAAGGTGAATGAAACCGTATGTTAGTTCAACTCAGAGGTGGAGCCAAGATTTCGAAGGGGGTTCCACATATGCGAAGCTAGCCTCCTTTAAAATAGATATACCGTTCTGGGTAATAAGAATATTGAAACTTTTTTAATTGCAAGAATATTTCTGACTAAATGATGATTTTATTATTATTGGAAATTAAGCTGCGATGTGTGGTACATATGCTGTAATTACACTGTCCTTCATCTCTTGCGTTTGTCTACATTTTGCTGGCAATTTTAAAAATCTGTGCGTACAATTTTTAAAGGTCTGGTTACGCCCCTGGTCACAGGACCCCAAAACTTACTGAACATGAGCAAGTAAAGGTGGGCCTGGTATCCTTATTATTCGCCCTACACGCAAGCTACAAATTATCCTCTCTAAAAAATAGTATTATGTTAATCGGTGGGACATATAGGCGTAGGGGTATGTTGCTTTTGGCTCCCGCCATTACAACACGCCGCGTGCAATATTTATAAAATGTAAAATTGATAAAATAAATAAGGCCATCCTTTCTTAATAAAAGCATATGTATTATTCTGAGACCAGATTCATAGGTATGTGTTCTAAGCCGTGCAGTACTATTTCCACCTAGCATTTTATCACTTTTTATTTCATCCCTGAGAACATAAATGGCATTTTCGGACATTCAGTTAGACACAGCGCTATATTGTATGAATATAATGGAATATAATGCACGTAGAATATCTGTCTGTATAGCTGTAGAAAGACCTTTGAAGAGTCCTCCTCTTTTCATCGGAAACTCTTTCTAGCAGATATCTCATTGTATCAGCATAGTTGAATTGGTTCTACTAGTAGTCCTTGTCTTTCAAATTCTACGTGTACTTCTTTCTATTTCCAGGATAAAGTGGAAAAGCATTTGTAGGCCAGCATTTAGTAACCTAACGCACTTTGCAACGAGCTTTTTTACATGTACATCACTGAAACTGAAAGGCACTGAAACTGAAAGAACAGGGTGAAGGCTATATAATATTGGAACAAACATGTGAAGTCACGACATATAAACCAATTATGCTAGACTATCAATATGGAGAAACTGTTTTTTTTTTGCCATCATCAATATCCTCTTTAACATTATTAAAGTGTATAAGACAATGCGGTAAATACCATAACCATTACATCCCAAAACCGACGCTTTCACCCAAAGACATGAAAAAAGTATACCATGCACTAACAACTTTAATGTATTATACTCCATTCTTTACAAATTGCATTCTTACAGTTACTCTGAAAAGAACAATTATATAAATTATGTATGCATATTTATCTTAATAAAACTGACATCAAGACCTATTTGTTTTAATCTTAGTTAAACAAACAATTCTGAGAAATGAAAATGCCTGATAAACCTTATAAACCATCTTGTGAATTTTGCAGTTTTCAGAAATGGCCAGCGTTGATATTGCACAAAAGAGGAAAGAAAACCGTTTCCGCATGGACCTGTTACTGGATCATGGAAACCTAGTACTTCAAGATGTTCTCAGTAACCAGTTACAAGTACAATATCCAGGGCTGTATGGACCATCAAGTAATGGCGTGATATCTGATGTCCTAAATGACCAAACAGTCAAACACTCATTACTCAGACTAAAAAGAAGGAAAATTTTGAACCCCAGCCAAATAGATATTCTATATCCCCCTAGGAGCCCTGCCCCTCCTGTGACATTGCACGTCTTGGATATAACCCTGACTGTAATCTTATTGAGAAATATCACAAACTTGAATCCTCATGCAAAATGGGACAAACCTCCTGACACGGACACATCCACAGAGGCCAACATCGGCAGGGTGAGGAAATACCGCAATGAACACGCTCACAATATAGGTGGTCTCTCAGACGCAGACTTCAAGACCCAGTTCGCTGATCTGAAAGCTATTCTGCTGTCTCTGTCAAGATTATACACTAGCGATGACTATGACAAGTTGCTGATCCAGCCACTGGATGCTTCTGGTAGATTTTCCGAACAATGTTTAATATTTCACATCTATACAACCAGAACTGATTAAAATATGAATGCAAGTGTGCGTTGACACACACGCACACATACAGTCGCAAAACAAAAACAGAGGATATAAATATAAAAGCATTGAGTCACATGTATAAAAGCACAGACAAAACCAATTGCAGTGATACCAATTTCATACTCTAATAACACTATTGTTAACATGTCACTGACAATCCAGATGTATATTTTCAGACATAATAGTGTTTTAACAATATTTAAAAATATGGTGGCTCAAGATTAAAATGCATTCACAATTTCTAATTTTTAGAATTTAATTATTCAGCAATCTTTTTCAGAAACCCCTTGCCAGCTGCTCTCCACGACGCTACCAAGAACAAACACAGATCTGAAGGGTCGTGATGGCATCATTACCACAATACAGCAACATATCAGAGATAAAGTTCCACTGATTCTCCTGACCGGGATGGGGGGTATCGGTAAGACCAGCATAGCAGTTAAGGTCGGACAAAGCATGCAAAACGTGCTGTACATTGATATGAGACAAGTGACAGATCTTAATTCTGTCAAGTTATCGCTTGTCCAACATTATCACCCAACACGTCATTTGAAAGACTTATACTCTGATTACCAAAACATATTCAAACAGACTTTGTCTAGTTTGACTACTGATACCCTATTTATCCTAGATAATAACGAGTCTTTTTTAAGTTCAAATAGGAAGGAGTTTAGTGATTTTTTGAAGGATGTAATGGATTCATCAAAACATATCAGTTTGTTATGTGCCAGTCGTGAAAGATTTTATTTCCCAACACATAACATAGTTGTGTTAGAGATTGATAAACTTGATAAAAGATCCTCGCGTGACGTCCTATGGGTACGAAAATCAACCAGTCCCACGGACAGTGAGTTAGCGAACTTAGATGAAATGGCAGAAATGTGTGGCTATAACCCCCTTGCATTACAATTGCTAGCTGCACTGCTTTACAAAAAACAATCAGAAGCAGTATTAGAGAAAATTAAAACTCAAAAGATACTACCGACTCTTTCCATTCCCAGCATGCCAGAAGAAATCAAAACTTACTTTGATATTTCTTATGAAACATTAAAACCGGAGGCGAGAAAGGTGTTTGTTGCACTACATTTATTCCCTGTTGCTTTTAATCTTGAAGAAGCCTCTGTTATTGTTGGATTAGATCAAAATACTTGCGAACATATCCTTGATATTCTTGCCAACAAATCACTCATTAGTACCGATGGTAACATCTATGACATCCACCCTTTACTAAGGGAATATGCAGCATACAACGCCCAGAAATATGGCGATTATATATTTGAAATCCAAGATGCCTATTGCAGTTACTATATACACGCTCTCAAAATACATGTATTTAAAATGAAATATATTGGTGCTACAGATGCAAATATTTTATCCGTGATGTTACCAAATATGAAACAAACTGCTGCTTTATTAATTAAAATATTAAAAACCCAAGATGCATTTAAACAACTGGAAAGTATAGACAACTTAGCAATGGTCGCAAACATTTTTTGTTGCATTTATCTATACCAGGATGCTCTACATATTTACAAATTAGTGTCACATGAACAAGTCAAACTTCTAGGTCCCAAACACCCCGATACCGCCAGCTCCTACGACAATATCGGGACTGTACTGCAGGCCATGGGTAAGTTTAAAGAGTCACTTGATTATCACAAAAAATGCCTTGCATTGAATGAGGAGATACTTGGTCCCAAGCACCCCGATACCGCCAGATCCTACGACAATATCGGTAATGTACTGCAGGCCATGGGTGAGTATAAAGAGTCACTTGATTATCACAAAAAATGTATTGCCTTGAGAGAGGAGATACTCGGTCCAAAACACCCCGATACCGCCAGCTCCTACAGCAATATCGGTAATGTACTGCAGGACATGGGTGAGTATAAAGAGTCACTTGATTATCACAAAAAATGTATTGCATTGACAGAGGAGGTACTTGGTCCAAAACACCCCGATACCGCCCTCTCCTACAATAATATCGGTACTGTACTGCAAGCCTTGGGTGAGTATAAAGAGTCACTTAATTATCACAAAAAATGTCTTGCATTGACAGAGAATATACTTGGTAAAAAACACCCCAATACCGCCAGCTCCTACAACAATATCGGAAATGCACTGTACGCCATAGGTGAGTATAAAAAGTCACTTGATTATTTTAAAAAAAGTCTTGCATTGAGAGAGGAGATACTTGGTCTCAAGCACCCTGATACCGCCATCTTCTACAACAATATCGGTAATGTACTGCATGCCATGGGTAAGTATAAAGAATCACTTAATTATCACAAAAAATGTCTTGCATTGGGTGAAGAGACACTTGGCACCAATCACCCCAGTACTGCCATCTCTTACAACAATATCGGTACTGTGCTGCAGGATATGGGTAAATATAAAGAGTCACTTGATTATTACAAAAAATGTCTTGCGTTGACAGAGGAGATACTCGGTCCCAAACACCCCGATATCGCCACCTCCTACAACAATATCGGTGCTGTACTGCAGGATATAGGTGAGTATAAAGAGTCACTTGATTATCACAAAAAATGCCTTGCATTGACAGAGGAGAAACTCGGTCCCAAACACCCCAGTACCGCCACCTTCTACAACAGTATCGGTGCTGTAATGCAGGCCATGGGTGAGTATAAAGAGTCACTTGATTATCACAAAAAATGCCTTGCATTGACAGAGGAGAAACTCGGTCCCAAACACCCCGATATCGCCACCTCTTACAACAATATCGGTATTGTACTGCATGCCATAGGTGAGTATAAAGAGTCACTTGATTATCACAAAAATTGTCTTGCATTGAATGAGGAGATGCTTGGACCCAAGCACCCCAATACCGCCACCTCCTACAACAATATCGGTGCTGTACTGAATACCATGGGTAAATATAAAGAGTCTCTTGTTTAATTCAAAAAAGTCTTGCATTGAGAGATTAGACATTGGTCTCAAGCACCCCGATACCGCCAGCTCCTACAACAATATCGGTTGTGTACTGCATGCCATGGGTGAGTATTATGAGTGACTTGATTATTTTAAAAAATCCCTTGCATTGAAGGAGGAGATACTCGGGCCTAGACACCCCGATACTGCCGCCTCCTATTACAATATTGGTAATATACTGTACGACATGGGTAAGTATAAAGAGTCACTTGATTAATTCAAAAAAAGTCTTGCATTGAGAGAGGATATACTTGGTCTCAATCACCCCGATACCGCCAGCTCCTACAACAATATCGGTGGTGATCTGCAGGCCATGGGTGAGTATAAAGAGTCACTTGATTATTTAAAAAAATGTCTTGCATTGAGAGAGGAGATACTCGGTCAAAAACACCCCGATACCACCAGCTCCTACAGCAATATCAGTGTTGTACTACGGGACATGGGTGAGTATAAAGAGTCATTTGATTGTTAAAAAAAGAAAATTCATTGAGAAAGGAGAAACTTGGTTCAAAACCCCAATACCGCCAGATCCTGCAGCAATATCGGTAATGTACTGCAGAAATTGGGTGTTGGGTCCGAAACACCCCCTTTACCGACAGCTACCTTAACAATAGGGGTACTGCAGGGTTTGGGTGAGTTTAAAGAGTCACTTGATTATCACAGTAAATGTCTTGCAATGATGGAAGAGATTCTTGGTCACAAAAACCTCGATACTGCCGACTGCTACAACAATATCGGACCTGAACTACAGAAAATCAGCGAGTATAAAGAGTCACTTGATTATCACAAAAAAATGTCTTGCAGTGAAAGACGAGGTACTCGGCTCTAAACACCTTGCTACTATCAGGGGTCCAAAATTATTTGAAATTTATGGAAAAGTGCCATCAGAGCACAGTTTTTCTCAATAGTCTAATCGTCCCTTTTCCATGGCTTTCCTTGAAATAACCGGGGTATTTACTCATTTAACCATTCAGCAAATGCTTCATAATGCCTCAAACTGGAATCATATTTTTATAACTCCATTTCTAAGATCATGGCATTTCTATATCAATGGGACAACAATATACAGGCAATAGCAAAATCAATATAAATATCAAACAGTCAAATACAGGCCAGACTATTTTCTTTAGTAGTGTTCCCATAAAGCTTTGGTCACAACCGGAAGCACGAATTTTAGGATCGTACGTCCCCTGCAGATTTCAAGTTCAGTGAGAGGTCGTAGAGGTAGAGGAAAGGTTGTTTTGTGAATCACAGGGGCAACGTGAAATGTCCTGTCATGCAGGAACGCTAATTGCTAGGTGGGATTGCCATGGAAATAGTACTCATTTCTTAAGTTTGTCTTGCTACCTACGTTCGCAGCCCGCACTCACACTTACGAAAGTAATAGAACTCACGCATCCTGTTTTCCCCTTCCTTCTTTCTTCTTCCTCCTCTCTACTTCTCTGCTCTCAAATTTTCTCCTTGCTCATTGGAGGATTATTGAAAGCTGATCTCAGCAAAATTCGAAAATTTTGAAAATTGTCTTAATTATACACGTTGCAAGATCAGCGACCACTGTCAAAATAAAATAAGGCACCCAGTCATTTATTTATCATGAAACATTATCAAAATTCAAACTACACTGTGGAAACGTTTTTCTTTTATTCAAATGTGTACAAGTAAACGTATACATAATTTATCTTGTTGGGCTATCTGTTATGGGAAAGCTTTACACATACTTTATTCAGTCATTTACAGACACTCCTTATCTTGTCCAATTTTTTATTCCACAACTTCAACCAGCCTGTTATAATTCAAGAACATATCCATCTTCCTATCTTGGCTCAATTTATAACAGGATTTTAATTCCCCGTCTGTGTATTTTTTATAAATACTTTCCCTATTTCTTTTCTGTAATATTGTATCCCTGTTTATCACTTTTCTCTTGCCTGCTTATGAAAGTAAAATATTCGGTCTGTATTTCAAAATGTCTTTCAGTAGGTGACAATATCTACAGTCAATGTGGTCGTACACACACACACACACACACACACACATTCACACACACACACACATAGCATATATTAAATGCAAGGGGGTTTAAGCCGAGTTATTCATATACTGTGTGAATTTTATTAATATTTCTCAAACGTCATGTAAATATGAAAAAAATTGTCGATCATTTTCACAAAGAATTTTCATCATAGTTATTTATAGGGTTTCTTTTTGCTGAAAAACGGCTGTTTGTGTTCTCTAGCAAGGGGCAAATATATCACGTGAATCATGATAGATAGTTTCCATGTTATAGGAGACTTGTCTGATTAAGTATCAAAATTCTGCAAGTACATGTATAGTATCGCATTGAAAACTGTTTCATTTGTAGTCAGTGTACAGGGTAGCATTTTGTAATATTTATAATTTATTTATAATATAACTGGTGAAGGGTAACATATAATTTGATAGACGATCTAACACCGTACCCTTTTGTTGAAGTAAGGCTGTATCGTATTTCTAGTCTTTGGAAATTCAAGATGCCTTGGTGCAGTCTTAGTTTTATGTTTTTTATAAGTTTACGTGTATTGTTTATCAAAATCGTAGTGTATCCATTGCAAATATTTCATGTGTTAACTTTGAGGAAGTGTTTGAAATATATTTGTCACATTCCATTTCATAGGGAATAGCGGAGTGAAGGAACAAATGTATCACATGAATTGTGATAAGCTTTTTCTCGTATTCTAGTTTAGATATCTGAATAAAATCATCACAAGTGCCCCTTATACATTCCTGTATAATCCAAATGAAAATAGTTTTTTGTGTAGCCAGCACAATATAGTGTGGAGCCAGTTAATAACGTATCGGTTGTATTCGTTTAATTAACTATTTATAGTGTAGCTACTATCATTTCCAAGGTTTCTTTTATTTATAGTAATGGCCTACTGGGGTCTAAGGGACCATTCCCATAACCCCATCGTACAAGCAGACTAATTCTGTTTCCGAGGGGATTCTGGCTTAATTGCATTTTTATATATGAGGTAAAGCGTGCACAAAAGTTAATTACCTGCTAGCAGCTTCAGTAGGCGTGCCAGATATTTAAGCCGCTTAAACTGAGTGCAATTTAGCGAGAATCTCTTCTGAATTAGATCGAAACTGCTAGTACGATAGGATTATGGGAACCCAGTCAAAGCCATGTAATAACTTGTACAATAGATGTCGTGATTATCAGAAGCCAGTATATTATGTCATGTGTTTTTACCATATCGATAAGGTATCTGATGGGAAATAATGTTATCCACTAGTTATACTATTGTATTTTACCTAAAGAACATGTATCGTTGCATGTTGCGGAGGCTGTATTTTGAAGACTGTATTTTATTAATACTATATAACTTTTCTGATGTTTGTAATTTACCTTTACGAATATGTGTTGTCGTCATGTTCAGTAAATGTGATTGTCTTATTTAATGCAGTAAGTGACTAGTTATTAAAAATATATTTAGCATTTAGAATACATCTGTGACATTATACGTACAATGCCTTGGTGCAAATCATCTTGTATTACTACTAAATTGTATATTTTGCCATTGTGTACAAGGTGATATAAATTGTAAAATATGATAATAAAAATGCATTGTATGAAAATGATTTTTTTTTCATTGATTGGCAACAGGTGTTTCGCTTATGCTGGTGCATAAGTTGTAAAATATACATTATTTAAGAACAAACCGGGGGACTCGAAAGGTAAAATAACATAATGGCCATTTTAAAGAACAAACAAAATTTGAAACGAAATCATTAACAAATTGTAGCGTGATGTTTTGAAAGGCAAAGGATAGACAAAGATACTTCATCAGTGAGGACAAAAACACTTCATCAATGGAGCGGTCGACTTCTTTTTACCGCATATTTTGCAGTAAAATCATTTGCCCCACCTTTCAAACGAGCTTCCCGTGCATTCTTTTCCGTTAGATGATTTAGAGAGATTAGAAAATAAAATACAGAGAAGGATATAAAAGATCTTCATTTTAAACAATCTGAGGATAAGTTAAACTCCAAAGCCCTTTTTTACATAAAACGTGCCATAAAAAAAAAAAAAAAAAAAAAAAAACAGAAAGAACATCTATTAGAAGACTAGATTGTTTGAAAACTTAACCTTTGTCTACCTCACTCCGCGTCTGGTGTCATATTGTGTTGGTGGTGCTTGATGACACAATATGACACCCACGTGGTTGTTCCCTAGATGACGAGGGTGCAAATATTGGTCGCCAGGTATTCTAGTGAATCTAAATAGCGACGAAAGTGGATGCATTCTCCTGCGCACACCCGCAGGATTTTAAACTCTAAGGTTAAACAACCGATGCGATTTTTATACACATAGGCCTACCAGACAGATGCTCTGAATATTTGAACTTTCCTCTTGTCATTTCTGCTATATAATCGGTGACGGCATAAGATCACAAAAGGTTTTACATTATGGTTAGCTTACAGGAAACGTAAGCACCTTTTGACTGTTTGAAGGGACGTGTAAAACTGGCAGTCGGGTTGGGTTAATGAGGAGACATAAATAATGTATAGGTTTGAATGCGGTGAAAAAGCTCTACTGTATGTAGTAGGCCTAGTAAAAAGATCGATCTGATCTCACTTCCTTTTTTTAAACTCTTCTTTTTTAAATTTGTAAGCTGCATTAGATCTTAATTGAAAGTGTAGTTGAACAATTTAGCGTCTAGTTTGTAAATTCCCTTCAGTTCGTTGAGATCTGAAGAGGGCACGTTGGCGAAATAGGACCTCCAAACTCCTGCAGACGACACAGATGACATGTCACCATCAGGGTACTTGAACTTCTCAGCCACGCGCAACAGTTTAAGCAACATGCTGACATCATGTTGGATAGTTTCGTATCGCACAATGACGTCATATTTGACGTCACATGGATTACACAACTCGTTATAAGTTCTCCAGTGCGGGTTGAACGGTTTAGTAGAAAGCTGAGAATAGACATTAATGTATTTGACGAACGCAGCAAATGAAATTCCGTCCCCTTCTTGCGGCGCGCTCTTCATCCCCGGGGATCTCATGAAAGGTTTGATATAGGCCCCAATTTGACGTGAAAAAGCGCTGAGTTTCTCTAATTTGTTCCTGTAAGCAGACACTAGTCTTTCAAAGGGATGCCTCACAAGAACAACTTTCAGATAGTTTGCAAGACGGAACTTGATTCCAAATTCGGAAAAGTCAGACAGGGGCACCAAAAACTTCTGATATTTATAGTGCACTTCATACGCCCCAATGTCTTTGTATTCTGTAATATCTGCGTTTGCCGTGAGCCCATACATCAAACGTTTAAAGTTCGTACAGCCCACTTTTGGTATTTCACAGTATATCAGACTGTGTCTGTCGTCTACCCACAAAAATGGACGACCAGCCAGAATACTGCTTGCGTTTGTGGCAAGTGCTAACTTGGTGTTTTTTGGACATGCGTCCTGTAGAATTTTTCTCCTTGCTTTCATTATATTTTGCCAACTGAGAGGCACTTCCGCCCACGAAAAGTACTGAAAATGAAAAAAAAAAAAAAAAAAAAAAAATGAAAATGTCATTTTCGTAGTAGTACACGGGTTTGAAGGAAATTTGCATTTTATAAAATAATTATATGACTTAATCTTCATTAATAAAATATCATTTGAAGCATACCCGACCACTATTTAGGTTGTTGGCCTGCATTGCCTTCCTCATGGAGATCGTGTTTTCTGAAAACAAGAAAATAGATCTGGGCCCNAACAATTTGCACATTCTGTTTATTATATCTTCTTGCAGTAGATGTATTTCCTGCTTCAATAATCCATTCAAACCCTAAACAAACTGTTCCTAAATAGAGGTAGGGTCGAAATTCCACAAAAAAAGACGCCATTTTGAGGGTAATTTCGATATATTTTCTGCTTTTTCTATTTTTTTGCTTTTATAACAACATCCTCCTTGCTCATGCAGCTTCTTTGATTTGTTATTGAAACATACACAACGATGTCATGAGAATTTGGTTGGCTATCTAAATTTAAATAACATTCTTGTTATGGCCCCCCTGCAGTGCACCACTAGCAAAGAATGACTGACTTATTAATTCATGTAACAAATGACAAACATAAATACCAAACAAGGTACAATGACTTTCTCCTTATGTATAATAAAATGAACTATACACAAATCTCGTAGTGCATGTATAGCTATAACCAAATCTTGTTTCGATCAACAATCCCGTCTTTAGTCACGTTTGCACGACCTATAGCCTGCAACAGTCGTTAACTTTTCCGTTGATCTTTGAAATTTAACAAATCCCATAGGATTTTATTAATGTGTTGGTAGTGTCACCTGGTGCACAGCAAGCTTCCACTATTTCACTTTCGTACGCGTGCCTGAGAGTTAAAAGGTACCGGTTCAATTCAGTAAGCTTGAAAATCTACCTGTCATATATGTGCGGAGTATGTTTTTCATTTTCAACTTATATATAATAAATTTTGTTATAATCAGCAAACTGTAAAGCGCATTGCACTTCAAATTTGGAATTCCTACGATTAAATAAGGTGCGGTGAATTGTAGTATTTGTCCAATCTTTAAGTGGATCCAGTCTTGTACTTTTTTCCCAAAGGGGAGCAATTACTTTGCACTCAATAAGTAAGCGTTGAAGAGTTTCAGGGTGTTCCTTACAGAAGGAGCAGGTCTCTGTGTCTTTTATCCCAATATTTCGCATAAAATAATTTGTGACCTTAAAATTGATCTTTGACCTACTTTTCACCATGAACTAAACTTTGCAAATTTTCGTTCCCTTTTATCTCCAAAACTGGCAGAGATAGGTCCATAGTTACTATTGAACTTGAATAGGAAGTCATATACTGGCAATCTAAATGTGACCTTAAAATTGACATTTGACCTACTTTTTACCATAAACTGAACTTTGCAAATTTTCATTCCCTTTTATCTCCAAAACTGGCAGAGATAGGTCCATGGCATAGTTAATATTGAACTTGAATAGGAAGTAATACACTGGCAATCTAACTGTGACCTTGAAATTGACCTTTGACCTACTTTTTATGATGAACTGCTTTTTGCATGTTTTCTGGCCTTTAAATCTGCAAAATTGCCAAAGAAATGCCCATGGTTACTATTGAACTTGAATAGAAATTCATATACTATGATATTGAATTTGACCTTTGACCTACTTTTTCACTATGAACTGAGCTTTGCATATTTTCTTGCCTCTCATATCTTCAAAACTAACAGAGATGTGCCCGTTGTTGCCCCTAGGTTTTCTCTTTTAATTTGTCAGCATATATGCACCACTGACAACACATTTCAAGGAAAACCAATAGGCTTTATATTTTGTCTAGAGAATCACAGGAGTGATCAATGGTAGGAAAATGCAAGTCAATTCGACAAACTGCTTGATTGTACCATTTTCAGTTATATTTTTTTGCATATTTTGAGAATTCTTGTTGATTGCATTTTATAGAGCTTGTCATGCACAAGACTGGTTATGGTGTCCCTTTTTGGAGGGGTGGGTTCCATACGAATGTGCTTACTCCAGCAGGTGGTACAATATCCGGAGGCGGTATCGCCTCTCTGATCCTCTAGTTTTATGGTGAAATTTTTGGCCACATAATACCATATACAGTTATGTTTTGCATAGCTGATTAGTTCAAATAAAAGAATTGCGTGTCACACTTTTTGTATCAATTTATCATTTTTTCTTTCAGACAACAACAACAAAAGAGTAGACTTATGACTTAGTTATTTTAAGATAAAGTAACTGAAGTACGATAAAATTATTGAAGTATTGATAAAATTACACTGCATAACCCATTTCTAACAAATACAGTATTTTGCTACCAAGTTATTTCTTTTCATTTTCAGGCAAAGAAAAGCAACAGAAGACATGCATGAACAGTAATGAAGAAAGTCAAAAACATTTTGCACATTTTCCATGTGACCATTCATAACATAAAGTGGAGACACTTATTCCTACTGCTCCATTCCTGAGACATGGCTTACAGACAAGTAACAGCAGGTATAGAGAGTCTTTATGTCCTACGAAGGCTACAGTTGTCTCCACAGTCCAAGACACCAGACGCTGTGCTGGAATGGACTGGGCTTTATGCAGACCATGCTGGTATAGACAACCTACCAGAGTCCATAGACAGGTGCAGAAATTTTAAGAGGATATCTACAGCATTTAACGGGTTATCTTCTTTACCACAGTCCATATCCAACCTGCCACACCTCACAGTGTTGAACCTCAAGTACAATGCATTCAGTACATTCCCCATAGCACTGTGTGGCTTGATTAAGCTAGAGGAGCTATACCTGAATAACAACCAGCTATCTGACATACCAGTGGATATCAGCAGGATGGAGGGGCTTAGAATATTTCACCTCTATAACAATGCTTTCACTACATTCCCCATAGCACTGTGTGGCTTGACTAACCTAGAGGAGGTGGACCTGTCATACAACCAGCTATCTGACATACCAGTGGAAATCAGCAGGATGAAAGTGCTTAGAATATTAATCCTCTCTTGCAGTGCCTTCACTTCATTCCCCATAGCACTGTGTGGCTTGACTAACCTAGAGGAGCTGTACCTGTCATACAACCAGCTATCTGACATACCAGTGGATATCACCAGGATGAAGGGACTTAGAATATTCAACTTCAGTAGCAACGCCTTTACTACATTCCCCATAGCACTGTGTGGCTTGACTAACCTAGAGGAGCTGCACCTGGATAACAACCAGCTATCTGACATACCAGTGGATATCTCCAGGCTAACTAAAGTTAAGATACTTATGCTGTCATTCAATAACATCACCCACCTGCCACCTCAGATGAGGAATATGGAAAGTCTAACAGAACTAGATATGGAAAGTAATCCTCTGGTTCAACCACCTATAGATACTGCCAAAAGGGGAGTTGATGCTATTAAAAGGTATTTTGAGGCCTTAACTGACACCAAGGCAATCCAGTCAAGTAGAATACAGGTCAACTTTCTTGGTGAAACAGAAGCAGGAAAAACTAGCATTTCACGTACACTGCAACGAGGAGAGCCAACCCTCACAAAGATGGCAGACAGGACAAGAGTGGTAGAGCAGGGAACATGGGAGGCTGATGAAGATATTGGCTTCAATATCAATGACTTTGGCGGACATGATGTCTATAAAATAGGTCATCCCATATTTATCTCCACAAGGGGCTTGGTTTTTATCACTTTCAATCTGAATGAATATGATCCAGAAGAGGAGGGTCATTATCAGCTGCACATTGGAGACTGGATTGACAAGGTGCAACCACAGAGTCCAGGGATACAAATAGCTCTCATTGGAACTCATCTTGATGAAGTTGAAACCCCACATGCAGAAACAAAATGCTCTGCAATAACCAGGCAGCTTGAAGACCATGCAAGTGAAAAGAAAAAATGGTATCAAGCACAAAAGGAGACATGTGAGAACAAAATAAAAGAAATACCTGAAGCCCAAGCATCTCTCCGCCAGGCCTACCAAAGCAAAGCAGCTCATCTGCAGACCTTGTGTAATCAAATGAAACCCATCTATGAGCATATTTTTAGAGTGAGTTCACAAACCTGTGAAGGAGTTCCAGAGCTGAGAGACTACCTTGTTTCTTTTGCCAGGACAAGTGCTGAAGTTTTGCCAGGAATGTGGGTGGAAGCAGCCAAGAATATCTGCACCAAGAAAATTGAAGGCCCTGAGAACACACTTGGCTGGGAGGTGATTGAAGACCTCATTCTGCAAAATGCACCTACATCATGGAAAGAGAAGAACTCAAAGGAAGATAAAGAGAAAACAATTTGTGACATCTTAAGTTTCTTAACTTACCGTGGAGACATTATATGGTTTGATAGAAGCCCTTCACTGATGAAAGTTGTTTTCCACAAGCAAGAGGTTATTGTGAATGTTCTCAAGGCAGTCCTCACCCATGATCGAGGTGAAGTATCACAGAAGCTCCAGAGGTCCATGAAGATTACAAGAAGGAAAGCACCCATAATAGAAGAAGACATCTTTAGCAGAGGAATTGTTTCTAAACAAGCTATGAGCTGCCTATGTGAGCCTTTCAAATTGTCAAGCACTGAAGTTGAAGTCATGACAGAAATGATGCTGAAACTGGAGCTGTGCTATCAAGTCCAGGAAGATGAATCCCTTCCATCCAGTACCTCATTCCATTTTCCATGGCTCCTCACTGAAGAAAGGCACCAAATGCTAGACACCAAATGGCCCAGCAAGGTTCCCCCAGACACCACACAACTTACCCTGCAGCTTCTCTTTCCATACAAATGTCCAGATGGCTTATATGAGAAATTTTCTGTCCGTCAGCACAAGCACCTTGGACTAGAGAAGACCATGCGAATGGATTGGAAAGATGGAGTGTATGCAGAACTTGAGGGATGCAAAATGCAGCTGACATGGGGACAAAACCAGTCAATTCCTGATACAGTCAGCCAAGATCCAGACTGGGTTATTAGCATTGCTGTCCGTGGATCACGTCTCTCAGACATGTGGCATGTTCTCAAGCAAGGTCACAGTGACCTCATGGACATCATTGAAGAGGAATGGCCTGGGCTGTCATATGAGAAGTACCTGGTGTGTCCCCACTGTGTGAGTGAGGACAGTATGCAGCCAACCCTCTTCCCTGGAGAGATACTTGACCAAACCAGTGGAACAGCTTCAAAACCAAGAAAGGTGCCATGTGTCAATACTGGTGTCTCTATTCCTGCTGGCCTGGTCTACCCACCACACCTGGTCATGAGCTGGCAGGAAGGTAAGCACAGTACTTTAATAACATAACCCCAAAGATTCACTAAATTCTTTTTTTAATGTCAAAATTTCAAAAAATATGTCAATCTGCCCTTACCTGAATGTGACATCTAAATTATTTACTTACAAGAAGGGTTTTCTTATGTTTTTTTTTCATTAAGTGCAGCATTTTAGCTATAATAACATCCCCAATGATTGACCTCCCATATCACATGTTTATACCGTCTCCATGTACTTAGTCAAAAATGCAAAAAAGTTTTCTTACAGCAGTAGGGATTTTTTTCTGTAAAATCTTTAGTATTTTTATTTACAATTACCTCTGCCTGTGTGTCAAAGTCTTTATATTCTCCTAATTGTCCTCTAAAATTAATATTTTTACATAACAACAGGTAATTTTTATCTTTCATAGGTGTTTCATTAAAAAATATTGCAGCTGTTTAATCATTTTCAGTTCTGCATAAAGAAAAACCAAGCCTTTGTGAAAAAATCACAGAATCCTGTCTCAAGGACATGTTAAATGAGTTCCTCCAAGAAGGCATCATCTCCCTTCGTGAAGCAGAAATGGTGAGAGCAGAGCCTCCTCAACACCATGACCAAACCTCAACTACCAGGGTGGTATGTCCAGAGAAAACTGCTGTCTTCCTGGACATTCTCAAAACCAGAGGAGATAAAGCATTTGATTTATTAAAGAAATGTCTCACTGAAAATGGACAAAGTGAGCTTGCTTCCCTCCTTAAATAAACTAAGTGGTCAACAAAAGTGACTGACTTTCTGCAGCAATCGTGGTACAAATTTAATTGTATTTTCAGAAATTCTTTGATATTATCAAATATTTAGGCCTTACATCTCAGTTTATAAAAGCTTTTAGAAATGGAAAAAAAAAACAATGAATCTTGGTCAGTTAAACTAAAGAACTGTTACTGCAGTGACCTTCATCCATCCATAGACAGTAAGCCATGAATAAGAAAGGAGACATCCCAGTTACTAAGGTTGGGGAGACCACTGTCCTGGAATGCCTGGCTGCAGGGAGCCTCAAACCCAAATTACTGACCTGGCTCAAGAACGATAAACCGCTGGGGGTGACGGAACGCCATTTCTTTACAGCCAACAACCAGTTACTGGTCATTGTCCAGACACGGCCAGAGGATGCCGGGAGGTATACGTGTGAGATGTCCAACACTCTGGGGATGGAGAGAGGGACGTCCCAGCTGACTGTTATCAATTTGGAGTCCCCCTCACGTGGAAACAATGGCGGTGGATTGGATGACGAGTCCACAACGACAGGGATTATAATAATAGCTGTGGTGTGCTGCGTGGTGGGAACGTCCTTGGTCTGGGTGATCATTATTTATCAGACCAGGAAGAGGAGTGACACATACAGCAGTACACCTACAGGTGAGAACATGTGATATGATATTCCTTTATTGTTTTATTAGATGAAGATGTCTGTTCAGTTCTTTATCAGTATTGGATGGATAGGGGGGTGAAAAATATCTCACAGTGGGATGCTGCTTGAGGAAGTTGGAGAGCTACTAAAAACTTGTCATTGAGAAAGTCTGAATGCACTATATTTCATTAAATGAAACTTCCTTTATATAAAGTTATAATAATACAAAAACAGCTATAAGTTTTTATTACCACTGCAATATTTCAGTGTCACACAAAAATGTGGCTTTAGGTGTGCTAATACTGATGGAAAAACGGAATATTGTAATTTTGAATGCATAACACAGAAGATAATTTTTTTCTTTTTTTTTTTTTTTTTTTTGCTGGATCCTTAATAAAATATTATAATCTTTACAGATGAGACAACTTTACCTGGTGACTTGACACCATATAATCCATCAGATGAGGAACGGGAAAGCTCAAAGTCAGACCAGTTCCTGGAGTATCAGGGACATGTGTTACCCATGTTCCAGTCACACCCCCGGTACGCCAAGGC